TCTTTTTTAAACATTAAATGTTTAAACATTTAATTTATTTATTTTCAATGCTAAACAGATTCGCAATACACAGAGAAAATACAGACAAAACAATAAAAGCAAGACCAAGCCGAAAAAGAGACTAGATGAATGAGGTGATTAGATATATTAATTAGATATTTAATATTCCCCATTTTTTGTTGAAATTGTCTATACAGTTGGTTATTTTAGCAATGTATTCTTCAATCTGCTTAATATGCGTCAGTGTTGGAGGATATTTTTTAAGCTTGCTGTCATATATGAATTTTTTTGTTAACATTATCAAATGATTCAATAAAATGTTGAAATCTTGTCCACCAAGCAAAATTTGCTTATAGGTAAGGGCAGAGGGAGCGCCCAGCTGATGACCCCATTTATTTAGAAAACCACGCCTGAGAGACTTAACATAACAATTCACAATTATATGTAAAATAGTTTCCTCTGCTGTTCCACAACAGGTACAACGACTGGACTGAACACGTGGTGGTGTCATATGATACAATGTCCAGTTTGTATAGATGATATTATGCGAAAGTTTCCACTGGAATTCTAGAAGTCTGGTATCCAAACATGCAACAAAAGGGAGACTAAAGCCACCTTATTAAACATACAAAAGTTACTTAAGTTATTAAATAATGCTGGAACAGACGAGCTTTATTATCTTCAGGATGGGTTTACAAAAATGACAATGTGTTCAACCAGTATGTTTCGCTGGTTCCCGGCGTCCTTTGCGAATGGCAAGTAGAACGCCATTCTCATACATTCTGCCTGCTTAGACTTGCATATTTGAGATGTTCCTGACATTCCTCGCTGTTTCTGTGCAAATATATAACAAAAACATTTTTTTATTTTCCCAACTTTCGAAAGTAAAACGAAACCCCTGAACGGCCCTGAGTGTAAGCGCTGACGTCACGTAACCAAGGAAAATGGAACAAGCAACGAGAAAGTGATGGACCAATCAGAATGCCGGATTCGTTACTAGTTACCGGCCTCTTGTGGCTTGTGCGCCCTCTTTCACCAGCTCACATCTCACCTTTTGTTTTAATTTCATTGCCATGAGCTATGCCAACTGTGATTGGGTGCAGGCATTAGAGGCATGTAAGGGTGTACATATGAAACCATGCAATTTGGACGATGTGGCTGTAAATGGTGTTGTGAACTTGGAAGACATTAAATTCACAATAACAATTAACTCTCATCCCTACATGTTATTGCTGTTCCAGTTCCAACCTCATTCATTTTGCATTTTCAATTTCTCTTTAACATGCTGCGACCAGGATACTTTCAGCTGCTGCAGATGGGAGATGAGATGGAGTCGGTCACTGTAAAAGTAACTATGGATAAAACAATGAGATTTATGCAAGAACATTTCAAATTTAATGTGTTTTATATACTGAGAAATATGTTTTGTTCTTACATCAGTTATATTTTAAGTAAATCAACACAATCCTGTTGGTACCTGATGATCAACTCCAGATGGTAGTTGCAAGTAGGCAACCAGTGGTACA